AAAAAAAAAAAATTCCCCCAAATAATCTCTTGCAGAGATTTCACAAACCAGGCATATTTTGCTGACAGCTTCCCAGGAATTATGGTAGAAGGAGTAACAGTGCAAATTCACAGTTCTCACAAACACAGTCAGCATCACTCATCTCAAAAGAGCCCCCAGCCACACCTCACTGCGGCATCTCTTTATTGGTCTTTCAGCTCATCCCAGTATTATGGTCTCCTTCCCACTGTTTTTTTCCTCCTCTTCCTTCCCTCTCCTTTCTCCATTTAGGATCAAAATGCACCATTCTTCTCCTCTGTGAAGCAAAGCAACCTCCTCGCCTGAAGCTTTGTTAGGCATTCTTAGAACAGAGACAGCCTTCTTCCTAAGAAAAATTACAGTGAATAAAATTTCCTCTGCCTTATTACACATACAAGGGTTGGGATCTTTTTAGAGCATGGTCAGTTATAAACTACAAAGAAGTACCTGCAAAATTCCCTCAAGAGGAGTTTCTCCATTGGTTCAGCTAATGTCCCTCAGAACCAGGTCACCAGATGGCTCAAGCTACCTAGGATCTTTCTACTTCTGGACCCTCCAGCTTCCAGAGCCACCTCCTCAAGTCCTCGTGACCTCTACTGCTCTCCCATCATCACAGACAAATGGGCTCATCCAAATTTCCTCCAGCTAAGCAGCAACCACCCCACATTCCCTCCCAGGGCACCAGCCAAGGGCCCTGGGAGGAAAACAGTATTTATAAGCCATGGTCTGTGGACTGACTTCAGCATTGAGGGGGAACCTGGCCCTCCCAGTGCCCCACAGCTCATGGGAGGGACTCAGAGGCCTCTAATTTCCCATTGCATTGATGGAGATGACCTCGCTAAACAACCTGCCTAGGCTAGAGCCAATGAGGGGTGTGGCCACTATCTTGCTAGCCTAGAGGTCCCATTCAGGGCCCTTCCAGACTTTTTAAAGCTAGAAGATCTTCTGTTGGCAGAAGCTTTTAAAAAGGCCAGCACGTAGCCTGGAAACAATCCCTAACGGGGATACAGTGCGGAGGAGAGGTGCAGATCTTTCTAAAAAGTCTATCTGAATCTCTGATGAGGGAAAGGAACATTGAAATTTGAAAAATATTCTAAAATTGGAGTTGCCTTCATTATTTTCTAGTCAGTAAATATTTAAGTTGCTTTGACATTTAATAGTTTTTTTTCAGGTACGAAATTTTAAAAATTTACTCAAAGGAGAAACGGGTCAAAAATGATTTAGTGATGTAAAAGAATGCTGGGGTCTTTCAAAATGCAAGAGTTGAAGAATAAAATTGTAGTACAAGGAGGAGAGTAGTGAAATGAAATGGTCTGAGAATGGGAGGAGGAGGGAGTGGGAAAAGGGACGGGGGGCCCTCCTGGCACAGGTAGCATGCCGCCCTGTAGCTGCTCATCCATCACCAAAACCCCTGCCTGTTCATGGTAATCTGGGAAGCAATGAAATACCTCCCTGCTTCCCCCGTCTCCCTCTACCATGTCTCAATGTGCCTTGAAGTCCACTATTAGCACTTCCATCCTTTATGTCTCGGCTGACTCGCCCACCAAATACATGGCATTTCTGTTCAGATTTTAGGACTGCAAATGTGTCTTATTTTGCACAGTTCTGGAACTTTCTAGAATCATACATTAGGTGGGCTAGATAAGTAGTTTCTCTAGTTTTGTGCTCTTCCAACTTTTTATGTAATTGCACTGATGATTCCATGATCACTTCTTAGGAGAATCCAGACAGAGCCCAGGTCAGCTACTAAAATACCTATGCCCTTTGTCCTTCTGAGATGCAATAGGAAACCACCTGTCAGGGTAATTCCCACATTTCATATTACTGGGCTGCTCCCCTGGACATGAGGGGTGATGGTTCTAGGCCCAGGTGCCCAGCAAGCCTTGTGCTCCTTCTATCATGTCTTTTCTCTCCCAGAGCTAGTCAACTCCAGGGCTTAAAGCAAGTAAGCCAATGTCAGCACAGAGAAGATGTGCAGTGAAGTGCTGCCCACATGAGGGCCAGGGCCAATGCTCAGGCCTTCTGCCATGTAATCTTGGGCAAGTTCCCTAAACTCAAGTTATTTGAACAGGAATGCAAATGGGGTGAGTATAAGGGTCTGGAGACAAGTGTACCCGGGTTCATACCCTGGCTCCATCACTTGCCGGCACCATTTGCATGAGGCTTAACTTCCAGTCTGTCTTTTTCTTCATCTGTAAACTGGAACTTATAATAGCATCCACATCTTAGGGCTGCTTTGAGTTAATCTGATAAGTTAATGCATGTAAAATGCTTACAAATTGCCTTGTTCATAGTACTTAATAAATATTTGACATTTTAGGCCAGGCACGGTGACTCACACCTATAATCCCAGCAATTTAGTAGACTGATAGGGGTGGATTTCTTGAGGCAAGGAGTTTGAGACCAGCCTGGCCAACATGGCAAAACCCAGTTGCTACTAAAATACAAAAATTAGCCGCATGTGGTGGTGCATGCCTGTAATCCCAGTTACTCAGGAGGCTGAGTCATGAGAATCACTTGAACCCGGGAGGTGGAGGTTGCAGTGAGCTGAGAACATGCCACTGCACTCCAGCCTGGGTGATAGAGCAAGACCCTGTCTGAAACAAAACAAAACAAAACAAAATTTGACATTTTATATGTACATGTATTCCTACATACATTTGTAAATACATACAAAACGTCTGTCAAAGTAGCCCGGCGTAGTGGTGGGTGCCTGTAATCCCAGCTACTTGGGAGGCTGAGGCAGGAGAATCGCTTGAGCCCGGGAGGTGGAGGTTGCAGTGAGCTGACATCATGCTGCACTCCAGCCCGGGGGACAAGAGTGAAACCTTGTTCTAACAAAGAGAAAAAAAACAAAAAAAAAAAATATGTCAAGTGCAGGCGCCGTGACTCACACCTGTAATCCCAGCACTTTGGGAGGCCAAGGTGGGTGGATCACCTGAGGTTGAGAGTTTGAGACCAGCCTGACCAACATGGAGAAACCTCGTTTCTACTAAAAATACAAAATTAGCCAGGCATGGTGGCACGCAGCTGTAATCCCAGGTACAGGGGAGGCTGGGGCAGGAGAATCGCTTGAACCTGGGAGGCAGAGGTTGCAGTGAGCCGAGATCGCACCATTGCACTCCAACCTGGGCAACAAGAGCAAAACTCGTCTCAAAAGAAAAGTCTATCAAGACATACTTCTTAGAATGGCTGAAATAAAAAAAGATTTTTAAATTTGACAATAGCAAGTGCTGGTGAGGTAGTGGAGCAACTGGAACTCTCATACATTTGCTGATGGAGATATAAATTGTACAACCCTTTGAACAACAGTTTGGCAGTTTCTGATAAAGTAAACATATATTTACCACACTTACCATAGGATCCAGCATTCCCATTCTTATTCCTTCAAGAGAAATGAAAGCATACATCCACACAAAGAATGTTCATATAGTTTTATTCATAATAGCCAAAAAACTGGAAAGAATCAAGGTGTTTATCAACAAGTGAATGGATAAATTCTGGAACATCCTTTCAGTGGGACACTACTCAGCAGTCAGAAGGGATTAACTACTAATACATGCAATGACACAAATAAATCCCAAAAGCATTTTTTTTTTTTTTTAAAGATAGGGTCTCACTCTGTTACTCAGGCTGGAGTGCGGTGGTACAATCACGGTTCACTGCAGCCTCAACCTCTCAGGCTCAAGCGATCCTCCCACCTGAGCCTCTCGAGTAGCTGGGACTACAAGCATGCACCACCACACTCGGCTAATTTTTTTAAATTTTGTAGAGACAGGTCTCACTATGTTGCCCAGGTTGGTCTTGAAATCCTGGGCTCCAGCAATCCTCCTGCCTCAGCCTCTCAAAGTGATGAGAGTACAGGTGTGAGCCATTGCACCCAGCCTCAAAAACATTGTGTTAAGGGAAAGAATCCAGATACAAAAGGCTGCATACTGTAGCATTCCATTTATATGACATTCTGGAAACAGCAAAACAATAGAAACAGAAAGCAAATGATTGGTTGACAGGGGGTGGAGACAGGGAGGAATTGATTATAAAGAGGTATGAGGGAACATGTCAGGGTAATGAAAATGCTTCACATCTTGATTATCCATAAGGTTTGCTTCTGTGTCCCCACCCAAACCTCATCTCAAATTGTAAACCCTATAATCCCCACATGTTGAGAGAGGGACGTGGTGGGAGGTGATTGCATCACGGGGATGGTTTCCCTCATGGTGTTCTCATGATAGTGAGTTTGCATGAGATCTGATGGTTTTATAAGTGCTCAGAAATTCCTCCTCCATTCCTCTCTCTCCTGCCACCTTGTGAAGAAGGTACCTGCTTCCCCTTCCACAATGATCATTTCCTGAGGCCTCCCAGCCATGAGGAACTATGAGACAATTAAACCACTTTCTTTTATTAATTACCCAGTCTCAGGAATTTCTTTATAGCAGTGTGAGACCAGATTAATACAATTGTGATGGTGGATACGTGAGTGAATATGATGGTCAAAACTCAAAGAACTGCACACCTAAGAAAGGTAAATTATACCTTACTAACCTGATGTTAAAAGCCATTAACAGCTGTTACCTATGAGAGGAGGGAACTAAGTAGGGAGGATGATTAAAGGATACTTTTTTTTCTACTTAAACATACTTGTACTGTTTGAACTTTTCTAATAAGCAAATAATTTATGTACTTGATAATAATTTCATTAAAGTTTTAAAGAATAACAATAATATCTATCTTGAAAGGGTGTTGTGAGATCCAAATGACATAATGTAAAAAGCATACAGCACAATGTATGAACTCAGAGACAGACACATAGATACATAAATAGATAGCTACAGGTAGAGAGAATTTGTTACCTTCCTCTCTCACCTCTCACCTCCCCTATTCTATTCACTTCCCCATCCTCACCCTCCCTTAATCACCCACATATTCTGAAATGACAAGGTACAAAGGCCAAAAGGCCACTGAGGGTGACAGCCATGACTTACCTCAGTGACAAAGAGTGTGCGAGGGTCGATGATATCCAAAAAGTGCCTGAAGCGGCCATAGAAGGATGTCTGAAGAAGGGGATAAGAGAGAAGAGTGAATGGATCAGCCGCTGTGTACCCTTCTCCAGACACTGGGGAGCCCCACCCTTTATGATTGGGGTCCCCCGGTCCCCAGGACTCCCCATGTGGTTGATAAATGCCAATGAGGCCTCAGAAATCTAAGGACAGCTTTCCTGAGGCTGAGAGTTTTCCAAAGTCAACTCAGAGAGACCACTGAGATACTCAAGGATGGGCCCATCTGCTCTTCCAGGTGCCTCCCATTTTCCTCCCTCTCTCCCAATGCCCTGAGATCTATTCTGAGCCTATTAAAAGCTCCCACGCATCGCTGGACATGTAGGCTGAAGGTGAGGCCTGGCCCCAGCCCTCTCCCAGCCTCCCTGTCTTGCTCAGGACCTGAAGTGACAGAGCGTCCTGCCTGCCCCTCACAGGGTCCCTCCCCAAGGTCCAGCTCTGCCTCCAGTGGGAGGTTCCCAAGTGCAGCTCAAACCCGAAAGCACCAAGCTCACAATCCTCAGGCCCTCCTTCATCCAGAGCCCTGTAGCTGCTGAGGTGCAGGACAAGAGGCAGCTCCCCCAACCTTGCCCCAGAGCAGGGGCTGTGGAAAAGGAGGGCTTTGTGCTAAGCGACACAGGCATTAGAGCACAATGAAAGGAAACCAAGCAACCCGGCTGCTGGGCCTTCTGCCCTGGGGACTAAGCCAGCTGGGCAAAGCCAAGCTCAAGGGGAAGACAGAGGGTGCCAAGGTCGGGGATGAAGGGGAAGCTGCAATCGCTGGGGGTTCATGCCTCACTACACTCTGGGCTCTGCCCCAAATTCCTCCCTGGAGCCCCACAACTCTCCAAGCACCATCCTTTGCACAGTGGAGGAAACAGAAGCCTCCACATTCCCTCCCCTTATTTATTTATTTATTTATTTATTTATTTATTTAAGATGGAGATTCTCGCTCTGTCGCCCAGGATGGAGTGCAGTGGTGCAATCTCGGCTCACTGCAAGCTCCACCTCCCAGGTTCACGCCATTCTCCTGCCTCAGCCTCCTGAGTAGCTGGGACTACAGGTGCCCACCACCACGCCTGGATAATTTTTGTATTTTTGGTAGAGACGGGGTTTCATCTTGTTAGCCAGAATGGTCTGGATCTCCTGACCTTGTGATCCGCCCACCTCAGCCTCCCAAAGTGCTGGGATTACAGGTGTGAGCCACCACGCCCGGCCTCCCTCCCCCTATTTAGTAGGACACCAGACCCTGCAGTCAATTCCTGTTCCTTTCCTTTCCCTTCCCAATAAAGACCCTGCAATAGGCTCCAGGTCACCTCAAAGTATCCCCACACACCAGTTCTCATCCCACCTCCATTTCTCTCCCACCATGGCACCCTACATGAAGCAACTTCTAACCCCTAATGCCGCCCCTACCCAGGTGCTGTCTCTCACAAACCAGATCAACCTTCAGTCCATTCCTAATAGAAACAGCTGCCTAACCTCTTATAATCCACACAGCCTGGACCATTTCCCCATTAAAGACACACATAAGGGAGGCTCACAATGCTGTCCTGGCAAAATTTCACCTCTAAGAATGCAGTCTAAGGAAACAATCCAAGATGTTCAAAGATCTGGCCAGGTGTACATACCAAGGATATTCAGTGCTGCATTATTTACAAAGGTGGATGGTTAAATAAATGCTGGTCCATTCATATGACTGAATACTATGCAGCCTTTAAAACTATGTTTTCAACATTCATGACATGGAATAATGCTTAAAATTTTATGAAATGCATATAAGCAGTGTGATTCCAACTCAATAAACAAGGGGATAAACAGAGCTAGACAGATACTAAGTGAAAAGCAAAAAGACCAAATGACATCCAGATCCTGGACCACTAACAGGGACCAGGGTTCCTCAGGAAAGGAGCAGATTCAAAGGCTGGGGTAGGGAGGGTACAAGATGAAACTGGTACATTTTGTTGCACCAGAAAGTAATGAAGTCTTATCCCTAAAAAATGATGGGGACATGTTAAAAGGATCAACGAAGGGCAGGTGGTACATTGTGTTCTTCCAGATGTGATACCGGGAAGTCCACAGCATCACTCACATAATATTCCACAGGGACTCAATAAATCTAATCACGAGAAAACAAAACAAACCCACACTGACAGACATTCCATAAATTAATTGGTTTTGTTCATCAAATATGTCAATGTCATAAAGACAAAGAAAGAGTGGGAATGAGACTGTTCCACATTAAAGAAGCTAAAGAGACAACTAGATGCATTGTGTAACTCGGGATTGGATCCTGGCGTAGAGTGGGGAATGCTCTAGAGCATTATTGAGACAAGTGACAAAAGTGGAATATGGACCATAGGTTAATAAAAGTGTTGTATCCATGTTAAATCTCCTGACTATAATTACCACACTGTGGTTATATAAGAGAATGTCCTTGGTGGGTTTTTTTTGTTTTTTGTTTTTTTTTTCCTAGACAGTCTTGCTCTGTCTCCCAGGCTGGAGTGCAGTGGTGCAATCTCCGCTCACTGCAACCTCTGCCTCCTGAGTTAGCAATTCTCCTGCCTCAGCCTCCCGAGTAGCTGTGACTACAGGCCTGTGACACTATGCCTGGCTAAGTTTTTTGGTATTTTTAGTAGAGATGCGGTTTCACCGTGTTAGCCAGGATGGTCTCCATCTCCTGACCTCATGATCTGCCCACCTCGGTCTCCCAAAGTGCTGGGATTACAGGCGTGAGCCACCATGCCCAGCCGAGAATGTCCTTGTTCTTAAATGATATACGCTGGGCCGGGCGCAGTGGCTCACCCTGTAATCCCAGCACTTTGGGAGACCAAGGCAGGCGGATCACCTGAGGTCAGGGTTTCAAGACCAGCCCGGCCAATGTGGTGAAACTCCACCTCTACCAAAAATATAAAAATTAGCTGGGTGTGGTAGTGCAATCCCAGCTACTTGGGAGGCTGAGGCAGGAGTATTGCTTGAACCCGGGAGGTGGAGGTTGCAGTGAGCCAAGATTGCGCCACTGCACTCCAACCTGGGTGACAGAGCAAGACCCTGTCTCAAAAAAAAAAAAAAAAAAAAAAAAAAGACATATACTCTGATGTATTAGGAGATGAATGAATACAATCTATTCGTAAATAGTTGAAGAAAAATAATGTGTAAAAATACAGGGCAGCCATAAAATCTGGAAATGTAGGCACTATAATTGAATGTAGATTGAAGATGTCCTGATGCTATCATGTATACTTGCTATCTTTCCAGACTTTATGATTACTTGTAGACAAAGAGAATAAAGGAAATGTGATAAGATGTTAAAAATTGGTAGATCTAGGCAAATAGGGAAGTTTTCCTTATTCTTCTTGCAACCTTTCTGTAAGACTAAAAGTATTTCAAAATAAAAAGGTAAAAATTATATTTTCAAAAAAGCTAGATGAAAATACACTAAAATGCTAATAGAGATTGCCTCTGGGTAATAGACTTATGTATGATTTATATTTCCAGATCTTTAAATTGCTTTTGAAATAAAAAAAATCAGTATTATGCATAATATGCAGAAATGATATTACATTTAAAAATACATATTTAGAGTAAAATGCAAGCCAGTCACAGTGGCTTGCTCCTATAATCCCACCTACTTGTGAGGTTGAAGTGATAGGATCACTTGAGCCCCGGAGTTTAAGATCAGTCTGGGCAACACAGTGAAACCCCACCTCTAAAAAGAATTTTAAAAATTAGCCAGGCATGGTGGTATCCACCTGTAGTCCCAGCTACTTAGGAGACTGAGGTAGGAGGACCACCTCAGACCAGGAGTTTGATGTTGCAGTAAGCTATGATCATGCCACTGCACTCCAGGCTGGGGGACAGAGCAAGAGCCTGTCTCCAAAAATAAAGTAAAATATGAACTGATATTTTAAGTATTATATTTGATTATGAGCTCCTGAAGGACATGGGCTATTGAATGTTCCTTCCTTATCCTCCCTGGTTCGAAGTCTCCTTGCATCTCTGGAAGGAAGGGTCTCCTGCCACAGGAATCCTTGAGTGGGCTGATGAGTGGCCAATAGCCTCAAGGCTTCTGGGTGGGGTAGAGCTGGGCTGGGCTTTGAAGGGAGGGCAAGATTAGGAAAGGATAACAGTATGGCAGCTAGTGGTTCAAAGGAGGGAAGAGGATGAGCGGGGTCAGAGGAGAGAACCTGGAAGTAGAATGGCCTGAGTGAAGCAACTTCTTGAAGATAGTCCAGCAGAAACTTCAGCCTCTGACTTGTCCTGTGGGTCTCACACTGTCTTCATCCTGTCCCAGTCCTGCCAGCCTTCTTGTGTCACTTTCCACCACAGCTACTGGGGGAGACTCCCAGATAACGCATTTTGCTACACAGACACAAAGCGTTGTTTGCTACAAACGCTTAATGAGCTAGGGTGAGAGGTGACAATGTGCTAGCAGTCCTCACTCTCAGCACCTCCTCAGCCTCGGCGCCCACTCTGGCAGCACTTGAGGAGTCCTTCAATGTGCCACTGCGTGGAAACCCCTCTCTGGGCTGGCTGAGGCCAGAGCCGCCTCCCTCTGCTTGCTGGGAGGTGTGGAGGGAGAGGCAAGGGCGGGAACCGGGACTGTGCTAGCGGGCAAGCGTGAGTTCCAGCAGGCGCGGGCGCAGTGGGCCACGCACACGGAGCGGCCAGCCGGCACCACCGACCCAGGGCAGTGAGGGGCTTAGCACCTGGGCCAGCAGCTGCAGAGGTTGTGCCAGGTCCCCCAGCAGTGCTGGCCCACCGGCGCCGCACTCAAATTCTCGCCTGGCCTTAGCTGCCTCCCCGCCATGCAGGGCTCCAGACCTGCAGCCCGCCATGTCTGAGCTCCTCCCCCTGCGGTTGGCTCCCAGGCGGCTGGAACCTCCCCCACGTGGGCTGCCCCCTGCTCCCTGGCGCCCGGTCCCGTGGACAGCCCAAGGGCTGAGGAGTGCAGGTGCCGCTGGGGACTGGTGGGCAGCTCCACCTGCAGCTCTAGTGCAGGATCCACTGGGTGAAGC